AAGGGTGGAAGGGAATGGAGGGAGGAAGAAAGAGAGGGGAGGGAGGGAGGAAAGATAAGGAAGGAAAGAAAAGGGAAGGAAGGAAGGAGAAAGGAGAGAGGGAAGAAAGGAAGGGCGAAAGGGTGGAAGGGGAAAGGGGGGGGAGATAAGGAGGAGAATTCCTCTCCATATTTGAGGACCCTCTTTAGAAAGGTCCTTGCCCGTTTGGGTATCGAAGAAAGAAGAGAAGACAAGAAGGAAGTTAGATAGAGGGGAGAAGAATGAAGTAGGGAAAGAAAAGAAGGATGCTGGTATAGAAAACATGGGGTCATTGCCCCAAAGTGGAGGCTCTTTAGTTTTAAGGGAGGTCTTGGAGGTAATTATGGTTCAGAATTGGTCATCGTTGGGACTTAGGTTCTCTAGATGTCATCTGAATGCTCAGGCATCCTCCTTTGAGGGTTGAAGGAGTGCCTGGAGCCAGAATCCAGGTGAACCATATTTGGCCCATCAACAAATATGGCGCCCCTTACAACTGAAGAGCCAAGGTAGTAGGGTTGAAGGCTCCACCAGCCATGGATGTTCTCCAAGGCCAGGCATGGTCTCCTTCCATGTGGGTCCCTCCCCAACCCTCCCACTCCCCAAAACTTTGAAGGCTACGTCTCCATCCACACATGGTTAAAGCTCTACATCTTTGGAAACAGTTCAGCAAACTTTTTGTGTATCATCTTAAAAAATATTTGGATAGAGACGTCATATATATAATATATATGTATATATATCAAAAAAAGACTCTGTCGGAAGCAGCGAGAGAAGCTATAGAAAAGAGGAGGTGGTGCATGAAGTGTCCCCCTGACCTCTTGTTACAGAGGAAGGTCACTGGGGTGTGGACATTCATGGGGGGGGGGGGGGGGGTTGAGGGAAAGGGGGTATGCTGCTGCTCCCGCTTTTGGTTTGGCGTTATTTGGCATGCTGGTGCCGAGCGCCCAGGCACCGTGGGTGGGTGGGGGGCGGTCTTGGAAATGGCGTCAACCACCCCTGGAGTGGATAATGTGACTTGGTTGGGGACTAAATTTTGAATCCTCAACCTTCCCCACCGCCCTGTCCCAAAGCCCCAAACCTTGTTGGGTTTGGCTCCAGTTTGGAGGGACAGGGAGGAGTGGGGTCAGCTTCCTCGTCCACTCCGAGGCAGCCATATAACAAGAGGTAGGAGGTCAACTTCCTCCATTTTTTTTGGCTTCCTCTCTAAATGGCTACCCCGGGCTCTGGAGTCTTCCCATTGCCATGGAGGATGGATCCCCATTTCCCCCTCTCTGGCGGAAGTTATTTGGCAGGCCAGAGGGGCTGGCTAGGTTGAGGTAGTTTTGGTATTTGTATCAAAAATAGATAATCCGGGATCATCGGGATGGGGGGAAACAGGGAGAGGTTGGAGGGAGTGGACAAGCAAGATGACGGCCGGACTGGAAGCTGAGCATCCGGCGAAGGTGAGGTAGATTCTTTGGAGGTTTACGGTTGAACTTCCAGATGGGCGGTGGGGCAAGGAGAGGCCGGACCTCTACGGAACGGCCACCTCGATCCGTACGAGGCCTTGCCTGACCCCATCCCACCAGGCATTGGCTTAACCGCTGGGCTGGGACGGAGGGCAGCGCTCAATCGTCACTTCGAAATGGGGGGTGTCGTGGTTGTTGCATCCCTCGGAGGACGGGGCGTTCTGTGGGAGGGAAACCAAAACATAAACAAACTTAACCATACCTAAAATCCCCCCCCCAAAAAAAAATCGTCATTTTATGGGTGTGCGAATCTATTTTGTTTTTATTCCATTTTAGTTTAGAATTTCAGGTGCCTCCGTTCTGTTTTTGGGAAGTTTCTGAAAACGAGATTAAGAGGAAGCATTCGGATTCGTAATTTGGAACCCTGAGTTCCGTTTCTGTTTTTGGGAAGTTTCCGAAAACGAGATTAGGAGGAAGTATTTGGATTCGTAATTTGGAACCCAGAGTTCCGTTTCCATTTCAGAAAGAATCTTCCCAAAAACAGGGGCACACCAAAACAGAACTGATTCTGTTTTTGAGAAGTTTCTGAAAACAAGATTAGCAGGAAGCATTTGGATTTGTAATTTGGAACCGTGAGTTCCGTTTCGGGAAGAATCTTCCCGTAAACAGGGGCACACCAAAACAGAACGGATTCTGTTTTTGGGAAGTTTCCGAAAACAAGATTAGGAGGAAGCATTCGGATTCGTAATTTGGAACCCTGAGTTCAGTTTCCGTTTTGGGAAGTATCTTCCTGAAAGTGGGCACACGAAAACAGAGCGGATACTGTTTTTGGGAAGTTTCCGAAAACGAGCTTAGGAGGAAGCATTCGGATTCATAATTTGGGACCCTGAGTTCTGTTTTCGTTTCAGGAAGAATCTTCCAGAAAACAGGGGCACACGAAAATAGAACAGATTCTGTTTTCGGGGAGTTTCTGAAAATGAGATTAGGAGGAAGCATTCGGATTCGTAATTTGGGACTCTGTGTTCCGTTTCTGTTTTTGGGACGTTTCCGAAAACGAGATTAGGAGGAAGCATTCGGATTCGTAATCTGGAACCCTGAGTTCCATTTCCGTTTTGGGAAGAATCTTCCCGAAAACAGGGGCACACGAAAACAGAACGGATTCTGTTTTCGGGAAGTTTCCGAAAACGAGATTACGAGGAAGCATTCGGATTCGTAATTTGGGACCCTGAGTTCTGTTTCGGTTTCGGGAAGAATATTCCCAAAAACAGGGTCACACTAAAACAGAACGGATTCTGTTTTCGGGAAGTTTCCGAAAACGAGATTGGGAGGAAGCATTCTGATTCATAATTTGGGACCCTGAGTTCTGTTTTCGGAAGAATCTTCCCAAAAACAGGGGCACACGAAAACAGAGTTTCTGAAAATGAGATTAGGAGGAAGCATTCGCATTCGTAATTTGGAACCCTGAGTTCTGTTTTTGTTTCAGGAAGAATCTTCCTGAAAACAGAGGCACACGAAAACAGAACGGATACTGTTTTTGGGAAGTTTCCGAAAACGAGATTAGGAGGAAGCATTCGGATTCGTAATTTGGGACCCTGAGTTCCATTTCCGTTTCAGGAAGAATTTTCCCGAAAACAGGGACACACGAAAACAATGGATTCTGTGCCATTTCACACGCCCCTAATTTTTATTTTGCAGGTTCTCCCAGCATGCCACCTTATCTTCCGCATCATCCCTTTGACTCACCTGAGTGACCAGTTCCACCATCTCGGAAGGTTTTGCCCCAGTTTCGGGCTTCCGCTGGTTACGGTGGGGTTCCCGGGCCGTGGTCTGGACTAGTTCGGTTCCTTGAGGGACAGTCCAGCTCTCTTGGGTTCCCTTCTTGCAGAAGAGACTGTAAGGAAAGCAGGGAACGAAGTTGTGGCAGGGACAGAACCATTTGGGGCACCGTGGTGATTCCAAAACATGAAACATCCCTCATAAACATTTGGGAGTGAGGTGTTCGAGGTGCTCCCCCAAACAGCCTTTACTGGCCAAACAGTGTCTCCTAGAGCCAAAATTCGAGGGTGTGGAGGAGGGCAAAGGTCATGTCAGACTCCGTAAAGAGCCATATGTCCCCCACTGGATTTGATCATCATGGTCATGAAATACCCCACAGAGAAAAGGGACTCTCCTGGAAAGGTGGTGGGTCTGCTCCATGTTCTGGACAGCTTCAGCGGAGCTATCCAAGGTGCTGAATCTATTCTGGAGCTTGCCTTCACTACCTTGGAGAGTTCCTCGCAAAGTTGCCCAAGCCTTGCGTGAATTTACCTTCCAACCATCATACGCAGAGGTGTTCCAGGTTGGTTTGTGGGATAACAACAACAACAACAACAACAACAAATGTATTCCCCTCCTATCCCTATGGCGTGATTTATTTGGGATAATAACATCATAATCATCATCAACAACAAAAACAACAACAACCCTCCTCTCCCTATGGCGTGATTGACTTGTGGGATAATAACATCATCATCATTAACAACAACAACAAATATATTCCCCTCCTCTCCCTATGACATGATTGATTTGTGGGATAATAACAACAACATCAACAACAACAACAGCAACAAATGTATTCCCCTCCTCTCCCTATGGCGTGATTGATTTGTGAGATAATAACAACAAAAACATCATCTTCAACAACAACAACAAATATATTCCCGTCCTCTCCCTATGGTGTGATTGATTTGTGGGATAACAAGAACAACAACAACATCATCAACAACAGATGTATTCCTCTCCTCTCCCTATGGTGTAATTGTTTTGTGGGTAATATCAACAACAACAACAACAACAACAAATGTATTCCTCTTCTCTCCGTATGGCATGATTGATTTGTGGAATAACAACAATAACAACAACAAATGTATTCCCCTCGTCTCCCTATGACGTGATTGATTTGTGGGAGAATAACAACATCATCATCAACAACAACAACAAATGCATTCCCCTCCTCTCCCTATGGCGTGATTGATTTGTGGAATAATAACAACAACATCCTCAACAACAACAACAAATGTATTCCCCTCCTCTCCCTATGACGTGATTTGTGGGATAATAACAACAACAACAAATGTATTAACCTCCTCTCCCTATGGCGTGATTGATTTGTGGCATAATAACAACATCCTCAACAACAACAACAACAAATGTATTGCCCTCCTCTCCCTATGATGAGATTGATTTGTGGGATAACAACAACAAATGTATTCCCCTCCTCTCCCTATGGTGTGATAGATTTGTGAGATAATAACAACAACATCAATAATAACAACAACAAGTGTATTCCCCTCTCTCCATATGGCGCAATACGATATTTTGACATGGAAGGGCCAGCTCCAAATTGTGCTGAAATTTATAATTAGAATCACGTTCGGGGACTTTGGGGCCAAGCTCCTGAGGTCCAGGGTCTTCCATGCGCCCCCTACTATGCCCACTCTTGCCCTAGATCCATCAGCTTTGGGGAAAGTATGCAATTTTGAGCTGTATTCCTTCTTACCTCTTGCGATAACCAAACATCAGAAAGAGAACGCAGAATATGATGCAGGCCATGCCGATATGGACCCCGACCACGATCCCCGCGAGAGAGCTGTCCCCCTCCTGCCCACATTGGCACACCGAGTTGCCGTCTGCAAGGATAAATGCACAATAGTACAAGCGATGAGTGCTTGGTAGTCAAAGATAAATTTCCTTTAACACAACACAACACAAGTCAACTAATCCACTAAGATTTCGAATTTATGTTGACCCTTTGCAAACCCTGGAGGATCTCTATTTCTTGTCCATTTTTTAATTTTGTTGTCTTATCTTGAATCTGGGAAGCAGTGTGAACTTTGGAGAAAGTTACCTTATTTCATCACATAATAGTCTCATTATTTTATCCCTTTATTAATGCCATGCAACTGCAATGAACAAGTCTACATTGATCATATAATGCAATTTCAAACGAGTTGCTGAACTCATTGACTGAAAGGTCGCAGGTTTGAATCTGGGGAGCAGCGTGAACTTTTGAGAACGTTACCATACTTCATCACATAATAGTCTCATTATTTTATCCCTTTATTAATGCCATGCAACTGCAATGAATGAGTCTACATTGATCATATAATGCAGTTTCAGACGAGTTGCTGAACTCATTGACTGAAAAGTCGCAGGTTTGAATCTGGGGAGCAGCATGAACTTTTGAGAAAGTTACCATATTTCATCACATAATAGTCTCATTATTTTATCCCTTTAATAATGCACCGGGATTGTGGCGCAGCTGGCTGAGTGTCAGCTGCATTAAGATCACTCTGACCAAAAGGTCATGAGTTCGAAGCCAGCCCGGGCTGGAGTGGGTGTCCAGCCATTGTGTAGCCCGTTGTCGACCTTTGCAACCCGAAAGACAGTTGCATCTGTCAAGTAGGAAAATAAGGGACCACCTTGTGTGGGAGGCTAAATTTAACTAATTTATGAGGCCATAAAGAAAGAAGACTCCGGGGAATGTGGAATGCGGAAGAACTTCATCGGTGTCGTTGATGGACGATGAAAAGCAGCAGCTCCCCTGGCGGCCAGAAAAAAAAGTTAAATAGCCTTTGTCTGTTAAATGTTGTTTGTCAAACTGGCATTGAATGTTTGCCATATATGTGTTTACTGTAATCCGCCCTGAGTCCCCTGCGGGGTGAGAAGGGCGGAATATAAGAACTGTAAATAAATAATAAATAAATAAATAATAATGCCATGCAACTGCAATGAACAAGTCCACATTGATCATATAATGCAGTTTCAAACGAGTTGCTGAACTCGTTCACTGAAAGGTCGCAGGTTTGAATCTGGGGAGCAGCGTGAACTTTGGAGAAAATTACCATATTTCATCACATAATAGTCTCATTATTTTATTCCTTTAATAATGCCATGCAACTGCAATGAACGAGTCTACATTGATCATATAATGCAGTTTCAGACGAGTTGCTGAACCCGTTGACTGAAAGGTCGCAGGTTTGAATCTGGGGAGCAGTGGGAACTTTTGAGAAAGTTACCATACTTCATCACATAATAATCTCATTATTTTATCCCTTTAATAAACCAAAAAATGGGTGTGATGTATATGGTGTGATGTGATGAAAAAAAATCTAAAAGTAAAGGTTTTCCCCTGACATGAAGTCCAGTTGTGTCTGACTCCGGGGACTCAGGTTCTCATCTCCATTTCTAAACCGAAGAGCCGGCGTTGTCCATAGACACCTCCAAAGTCATGTGGTCATTGGCATGACTGTATGGAGCGCTGGTCCCTTCCCGCTGGAGTGGTACCTATTTATCTACTCACATTTGCATGTTTTTGAACTGCTAGGTTGACAGAAGCTGGGGCTAACAGCGGGGTGTGATATATATTGTGTGATGGTCGCAGGTTCAAATCCAGGAAATGGGAGCTCGCCCCGCTTCCCAGATTTGAACCTGTGACCAACTGAAAAATCAGATTTTTTAAAAATCACATCATACAATTTACATCACACCCCTTTTTTGTTTATTAAAGGGATAAAATAGTGCGACTATTACGTGATGAAATACGGTAACTTTTTCAAAAGCTCTGCTAAAGTACCCCAACTTCCCTAAATTATCTTTAACCAAGAGGTTCAACACAGTCAACAAATCTTCCCACCTGAGTGGTACCTATTGATCTACTGACATTTGCATGTTTTTGAACTGCTAGGTTGGCAGAAGCTGGGGCTAACAGCGGTAGCTCGTCCCGCTCCCCAGATTTGGACCTGCGACCAACTGAAAAATCAGATTTTTTTTCATCACAATTTACATCACACCCCTCTTTTGGTTTATTAAAGGGATAAGATAATGAGACTATTATGTGATGAAATATGGTAACTTTCTCAAAAGCTCTGCTAAAAGTACCCCAACTTCCCTAAACTGCTTTTAATCAGGAGGTTCAACACAGTCGACAAATCCAGCAGCTGTTCCTAAAACCTCTCTTTCCTGCAAAGCCATTTAAGGAGTTGATTTCGAATCCACGATTTCGAATCATTTTACCATGCCACAAATAACTATGCCATCCAAATGCAAAGGTCTTATCATTTTTCAGTAGAATACAGTTTTTCAAGCAGACTAAGGTGTGCATCTACTGCCTGATCCTTTTGGACCAGAAAATACGTTTCAAACCCTTACCCAGCCTCTCCGAATTCTCCTTAAGCGAGACGAACCGGATGCTGCTGTTCCCATCCCCGTTCCCATTGAAGGCCTGGAGTTTGATCTCGTAAGTCGCGGACGGCTCTGTTGGGACACAAAATAAGATTACCACACTTGCAAAAAAAATGCAGTAAGAGTCCATCACAACCCATGACCTGCAGGCTTCACACCACACCACACCACGCACTCTTTCCAAGGCATTTTAAAGAGGCTTCCCCACTTCCAGGTGAGGAAGAGCAATGACATCCTGGAGTTATCCTCCCTGGGCTTCCTTAAAAAAACCATCTTTTTTCCTTGCACATTTCAATATTCTCCTTTTGCTTTGGGTTTAAGGGCTTCCTTTAAAAAGCCATCTTTTTTCCTGGCACATTTCAATCTCCTCCTTTTGCTTTTGGTTTAATGCTTCCTTGCAGCTGTTTCTACTGTAGAGGAGAGGCGCTACAGGCAGGCGAGCACACTTGCTCTCCTGGGCCTGCACCACACCACACCACGCACTCTTTCCAAGGCATTTTAAGGAGGCTTCCCCACTTCCAGGTAATGACATCCTGGAGTTATCCTCCCTGGGCTTCCTTAAAAAAACCATCTTTTTTCCTTGCACATTTCAATCTCCTCCTTTTGCTTTGGGTTTCATGCTTCCTTGCAGCTGTTTCTACTCTAGAGGAGAGGCGCTACAGGCAGGCGAGCACACTTGCTCTCCCAGACCTGCACCACACCACACCACGCACTCTTTCCAAGGCCTTTTAAGGAGGCTTCCCCACTTCCAGGTAAGGAAGAGCAATGACATCCTGGAGCTATCTTCCCCGGGCTTCCTTAAAAAAACCATCCTTTTTCCTGGCACATTTCAATATCCTCTTTTTGCTTTGGCTTTAATGCTTCCTTGCAGCTGTTTCTACTCTAGAGGAGAGGCGCTACAGGCAGGCGAGCACACTTGCTCTCCTAGGCCTGCACCACACCACACCACGTGCTCGTTCCAAGGCATTTTAAGGAGGCTTCCCCACTTCCAGGTAAGGAAGAGCAATGACATCCTGGAGCTATCCTACCTGGGCTTCCTTAAAAAAAAAACATCTTTTTTCCTGGCACATTTCAATCTCCTCCTTTTGCTTTSGSTTTAATGCTTCCTTGCAGCTGTTTCTACTCTAGAGGAGAGGCGCTACAGGCAGGCGAGCGCACTTGCTCTCCTGGGCCTGCACCACACCACACCACGCACTCTTTCCAAGGCATTTTAAGGAGGCTTCCCCACTTCCAGGTAATGACATCCTGGAGTTATCCCCCTGGGCTTCCTTAAAAAAACCATCTTTTTTCCTTGCACATTTCAATCTCCTCCTTTTGCTTTGGGTTTAATGCTTCCTTGCAGCTGTTTCTACTCTAGAGGAGAGGCGCTACAGGCAGGCGAGCACACTTGCTCTCCCGGGTCTGCACCACAACACACCACACACTCTTTCCAAGGCATTTTAAGGAGGCTTCCCTACTTCCAGGTAAGGAAGAGCAATGACATCCTGGAGCTATCCTCCCTGGGCTTCCTTAAGAAAACCATCTTTTTTCCTGGCACATTTCAATCTCCTCCTTTTGCTTTGGGTTTAATGCTTCCTTGCAGTTGTTTCTACTCTAGAGGAGAGGCGCTACAGGCAGGCGAGCACATGAAGAGCAATGACATCCTGGAGTTATCCTCCCTGGGCTTCCTTAAAAAAACCATCTTTTTTCCTGGCGCATTTCAATCTCCTCCTTTTGCTTTCGGATTAATGTTTCCTTGCAGCGGTTTCTACTCTCTACTCTAGAGGAGAGGTAACTGGTAGTTTTTTGGGCTCTGCAAGTGCTGCATTTTTCCGAATGAAACACAGAGTGTTTGAGGACCGGGACATCCGTAGGGATACCAAGTTGCTTGTTTATAAATCTGTTGTCCTCCCAACGCTGCCGTATGTCTGCGAAACGTGGACTATCATGCAACTCCTGGAACGATTCCAGCAGCGTTGCCTCTGAAAAATCCTACAAATGTCTGGGAAAGACAGGCGGACAAATGTCAGCGTCCTGGAGGAAGCAAAGACTACCAGCATTGAAGTGATGCTCTTACAACATCAACTGTGTTGGACCGGCCACATTTCACTCTAGCTGGAGGTCAGCTGTGACCAGCAGTGCTGTAGAATTTGAAGAGGCACGAATGAAGGGCGAAAGAGAGAATCGTGCCAAGAGGAAGACACATCAAGCCAACCCTGAAAACCTGGAAACCGTTGTTCTCACTGTGGGAGAATGTGCAGGTCAAGGATAGGGCTCCACAGTCACCTACGGACGCACCGCCAGGACACCAAACTTGGAGGACAATCTTACTCGGACAACGAGGGATTGCCTAAGTAAATAAGGTAGTAGTTTTCAAGGAATTGGGATTTTCTTTTTGTTTGATGGAATTAATTTTTAAAAAAGATTGAACTGTGATACCGAAAAACAGAGGAGCTGAGATGGGCTCCCGCTTGTTTTCGTTGCGGGCGGGTTTTCGTACCGGGACGGGCCTTACCGTTACGTGCTCCCGAAGGTACCGAAGGAAAACAGAACCGTGCACAAGCCTAATTGCTATCACTGTGTACCGTCTGTGTTTGCAAATATCATGATACACCCATTTCTGGATCAAAATAACATTCCGTATAAATGGAAAAGCCATCCAGTCCTCAAGGAGTAAGGGACACCGGGTAGCCTTGGAAGAGATACATTCTCTAGCCCGCAAACAAGGGACGATTTGCAACCAAAGGAGAGAAAAATTAGTGAAAATGTCGAACACAAAGCTGCCACTAGAGGGCAGCAATGCACTTCAAGAAAAAAGTGCAAAGGAAAGACACCGGAGACACTAGAAGTTCCAACTTTCGGCTTTAGGGGAACTACAAATGCACCAAAAATGCTATAGGCTCTCTACTGGAGGAGGGAACTAGCAAAATCATCTCTGCTTCTTCCTCACCTATGAAAACCCAATGAGTTACCACACGTCAATGGATGACTTGAAAGCACTCATGTTGAGAGTCCAGAGAAGAAGAGTCCAGCAAGCAATCATGTTCTTCTGATCCTTTTCCTTATGCTCTCATTTCTCATCTAAGTGTTGGATTCCTCATCCCATTGAATAGGGTGGTTGCTCAGGATGGATAATGTAGCACATGAGGGAAGCCATTTGTGATAAAGGCAACCTCCTTGGGGTTCCTCAGAAGATGTTAGGGATGGACCTTGGACCTTCAAGGACCTTTCCTTCTGGAAGTACAAGAGGCTCACCCAAGACTCCATAGAGGTGCTGGACAAGAGCTGGGACCCCTTGGGGTTCCTCAGAAGATGTTAACAATACTTTAGAGATGGACCTTGGCAAGAGCTGGAACCCCTTGGGGTTCCTCAGAAAATGTTAACGGAAGGCCTTAGAGATGGACCTTGGATTTCTGGAAGTGCAAGAGGCTCACCCGTCTCCATAAACAAAGGAGTTGGAGGTGCCAGACAAGAGCTGGGGCCCCTTGGGGTTCACCAGAAGATGTTAATGGAAGGTCTTAGGGATGGACCTTGGACCTTCAAGGATCTTTCCGTCTGGAAGTACAAGAGGCTCACTCAAGACTCCATAGATGAAGGAGTTGGAGGTGCTGGGCAAGAGCTTGGGGTTCCTCAGAAAAGGTTAACTGAAGGCCTTAGGGATGGACCTTGGACCTTCAAGTACCTTTCCTTCTGGAAATACAAGAAGCTCACCCAAGTCTCCATAGACTAAGGAGTAGGAGGTGCCAGGCAAGAGCTGGGGCCCTTGGGGTTCCTCAGAAGATGTTAATGGAAGGCCTTAGGGATGGACCTTAGACCTTCAAGGACCTTTCCTTCTGGAAGTGCAAGAGACTCACCTAAGTCTCCATAGATGAAGGGGTTGGAGGTGCCATGCAAGAGCTGGGGCCCTTGGGGTTCTTCAGAAGATGTTAATGGAAGGTCTTAAGGATGGACCTTGGACCTTCAAGTTCGTTTCCTTCTGGAAGTGCAAGAAACTCACCTAAGTCTCCATAGATGAAGGAGTTGGAGGTGCCGGGCAAGAGCTGGGGCCCCTCGAAATGGGCGCCGGGCAGTTTTCGGAGGTAAAGCTTGAAGCCCTCGATGCGGCCAGAAGCAGGCAGTTCCCAGAAGGCCTGGATGGCGCTGGCATTCAAGACCTTGGTGAAGAAACCCAACGCTGCAGGGACTGAAGAGGAGATATTTATTTTAGCTTGGGAAGCAGGGACGGAGAGCATCTGAAGGGCTTCTTTTCCCTCTTACCTGGCCAGAAACCAAGCCCCCTCCCTTTGAACAAAAAACTAGAGATCCCCATCCAACCATTGGGCAATTTCTAAGAGTTTCAACCTTCCTCCCCCCAAAAGGAACCTTTCCAAGCTCAGATCTCTTCTGAGAGACCCACATTTGAACCCCTCGCAAGGGTACTGCTTTGAGCCTTGAGACCATAGTCAAATTGTCTCAGCTCGAGGAGACCTTACAATAAGTCCACTTAGGATGACCGTAAGCCCCAAACAGCCTCAACACAACAACAGTTGTACATAGCCTTCAATAATTGAACCTCCAGACAGCGTTTCTCAACATCATGAAGGATCAGTTTGGGTTGTTGTGAGTTTTCTGGACTGTATGGCCACATTCCATGTTCTCCTGATGTTTCACCTGCATCTGTGGCTGGCATGTTCAGAGGTTCTGTTGTTAGTGAGGCAAGTGGAGTCTATATATATCTGCGAAATGTCCAGGGTGGGGGTTTCAAACGGACAAAGGTTCATTCCCCCATCCTGGACATTCCACAGATATTCCTGCTTCTTGGCAGGGGGTTGGACTGGATGGCCCATGAGGTCTCTTCCAACTCTATGATTCTATGATTTTATATATATGCACTCCACTTACCTCACTGGCAACAGAACCTCCAAAGATACCCAGCCACAGATGCAGGTGAAACATCAGGAGGGAATGCTATTGGGACATGGCCATACAGCCTGAAACACTCACAGCAACCCAGTGAATCTGGCCATGAAACACAAGGATCAATTTCTTGATATCTCAACCAAATCGGACAGATTTTGGGAAATGGTAGAAACACTTGAAATGCATCTCAACTAGATCTTCCATTTCAGAATGTATCTCTACAAGTCTCAAGACCAGGGTTCAATTCCCGCTTTCGGATCCGTTTGACAGCGGAATATCCTTAGTCTTTGGGGGGCCCTCCCATTCTGTGATGGACTCACTGCTGCCCAGGGTCGTGGCCAAGATGGGCTGGGAGTCCTGGCTGGCCCCCAAAGGAGAGTAGGCCTTCAGGTAGATGGAGTAGGTGGTGGACGGCTCCAGGTTGGTGAAGACGTGCTGGAAGGTCGTCTTGCTGACCGCCTCTTGCAGTTCGCGGCTGTCCGATTCTGAGAAAGGGATGAGAAGGAAGCAAGGTCAATAACAACATTGGCCGGACGGTTCAGAAGGGAGTGCCGAATCCCTTTGCACATATTCCGAAAAAGCAAACTTGCAAAGGTAGTCGGACCCTCCTTATCCACAGATCCCCCTAATTCATAGCTCGGAAATATCTTTCTAAATATTTGGACGAACCCAGAGGGTGCTCACCAATCCTTCCTCTTCATCCTGGAAAGAAGTGACGAGTGGAGTGCCACAAGCAGGGTTCCCCCCTGGGCCCGGTCCTGTTCAAGATCTTTATTAATGACTTAGATGAAGGGCGAGAAGGCAGGATCATCAAGTTTGCAGACGACACCAAATTGGGAGGGAGAGCCAAGACTCCAGAGGACAGGAGCAGGACTCAAAACGATCTTGACAGATTAGAGAGATGAAGGGCCAAAACTAACAAAATGAAGTTCAACAGTGACAAATGCAAGATACTCCACTTTGGCAGGAAAAACGAAATGCAAAGATATAGAATGGGTGATGCCTGGCTCGAGAGCAGTACGTGTGAAAAAGATCTTGGAGTCCTCGTGGACAACAAGTTAAACATGAGCCAACAATGTGATGTGGCGGCAAAAAAAGCCAATGGGATTTTGGCCTGCACCAAGAGGAGCCTAGTGTCTAGATCTAGGGAAGTCATGCTCCCCATGCTCTATTCTGCTTTGGTTAGACCACACCTGGAATATTGTGTCCAATTCTGGGCACCACAATTCAAGAGAGATATTGACAAGCTGGAATGTGTCCAGAGGAGGGCGACTAAAATGATCAATGGTCTGGAGAACAAGCCCTATGAGGAGCGGCTTAAGGAGATGGGCATGTTTAGCCTGAAGAAGAGAAGGCTGAGAGGAGATATGATAGCCATGTATAAATATGTGAGAGGAAGCCACAGGGAGGAGGAGGGGGCAAGCTTGTTTTCTGCTTCCCTGGAGACTAGGACACGGAACAATGGCTTCAAACTACAAGAGAGGAGATTCCATCTGAACATGAGGAAGAACTTCCTGACTGTGAGAGCCTTTCAGCAGTGGAACTCTCTGCCCTGGAGTGTGGTGGAGGCTCCTTCTTTGGAAGCTTTTAACAGAGGCTGGATGGCCATCTGTCAGGGGTGATTTGAATGCAATATTCCTGCTTCTTGGCAGAATGGGGTTGGACTGGATGGCCCACGAGGTCTCTTCCAACTCTTTGATTCTATGATTCTATGAAAATTCTCCAAAGCAACCGTTGAATTTGCCATTTGGTATACTAGGCACCGTGGGGCATCCAATGGGTGTTGGTTCCCCAAACAGAACCCCAGCTGACACCAAAATGTAAAGAGATTATTTCGGAACTCAGTGTCACACCAAAGGCTCACGGTAGTGAGACACAAAATTGCAGCGCTAAAGCAGATTCATATATTCAAGTGTCCTTGCGCTGGTACGGCTGTACCAAAAGCTCCAACTTCCTTTTCTTTCTTTGAGTGTTTGCATGTATTCTAAAGTTCCATGCATTTTGCAATAAGGTGGTTTCCCTTGGTTTGCAATTATAGGGCCAAAGACCCATCAGTCATTGTTAAGTTTTGGTTCCGCCCCTTTCCCCAGGGCTCTGGGAGGAGAGGGGGCCATTTTAGGTCAGTCTTGCATTGGAAAACTTAGCTACAGGACATGGATTAACTCCACCTGTAGAGAAGCTTCGTTTCTCACAGATTCCAGGGGAAAACAGTTCCAAAAAACTCCAGCTGGAGAATCTACAAAACCTTGACTGGTAGGTCTACTCGGGACCCAAGAAGCAGTTTGGAGCCGGGAGTAGAGCCCACACCAGCAAAGTTTAGAAAGTAGATTGCCCAAGGAGGGGTTAAAAAGGGTTTTCCTCTTAAAGAGAAGGAACAGTTCACGAAGCCAGTTGCCTGTCCCTTGTGGACAAGATTAAGAAAGCCACCAGTTGATTCAAAGCCTTGAAGCATTTGTTTAACTCGTTGAAGATCTAAGAAGTATTTGATTGTTTGTTGAAGACTTAAGAAATAATAAAGGACTTTGTTAAACCTTTAAAGACTCTGTATAGGAAAATCCTTAGGGCCTCTCACTCGAGGCACCCCGGCTTCCCGCTGGGCACAAAGAGCTCGTCCTGTTCAAAAGCCAAATGCTATAGGCCCAGCATGTGACAGCACAGTCCTATCTTGTATGTTTGTGTGTGTTTGTGTGTTAGACAGAAATGGGACCGTGGTAATGACTGTGTATGTCATGATGCAATACCTAAGGCGGTGTAGTAATGGCTGAATCATATCCATTGATAGTTACTTACTGATGACCTACCAGCAGGTGGCTATACAAGGAGGATGAAAGAATCCATCTTTCTCTTTCCTGTGTGACTCAGTGCGAGTATCTACCTATGTTTATGACAATATGATTATTGTTTGCAAGCACAAGGAAAGTGGATCTGCATATCCTGTTTGTTTATTGCAAATTGTCCTGGTCGAAATTCATTTTGTGGGTTTTGTCCAATCTAATCTGTTGAGGTCATTTTGCATCCTGATCCTGTCCCCTGGGGTATTAGCCACCCCTAATTTGGTGTCATCTGCAAACATGATAAGACGCAGGCTCTCTAAACCTTCATCCAAGTCATTACTGGGCCCAGAACCGAATCCTGCGGCACATTGGTAGTCACTTCCTTCAGGATTGGGTTTGGTCACCAAAACCACTGGGCCCAGAACCGAATCCTGCGGCACATTGGTAGTCACTTCTTTCCAAGATTGGGTTCGATCACCGAAACCACTCACCTCCTGCTTTTCGGATGTGGAGGACGTATCCGATGATGGCCTCGGTCACCTCCATGGGGGGCTCCATCCAGGAGACCTGGATGGAGGTAGTGGACAAAGCCGTGGCCTGGACGCCTTCAGGGGAGCGAGGCAGCTCTTTGGACAGGGCCACTGCTAGCCGGGCACTGGCCTGGTTGGTACCGGCGCTGTTCTCCGCGATGCACTGATAGATGGCCTCGTCGGCCGAGGTAATCCGCTGGATCATCAGGGTGCTGCGAGAAACGAGACAAAGAAGGCTTTATTTGCTGGATCTCAGTGGTTGGGGTCCGATAAACTGAGTCATAACCATGTGAGGGTTGCTGCAAAGAGTGGTCCTTACTGATGACCAACCAGCAGGTGGCCTTACGTCTGGCCAACTTTTTCTCCATCTCATGGGCCTCTCTGACCTGATCAGCCCACCACCGGCTGTGTAGCTAGCTCTTACGTGAACCAACTGTGCTGACCAACTGCGCTAGCCAACCACCTGTGCAGACCGACCCCTGTGTTGTCTGATTGTGCGGACTAGGCTATGTGTAGACCAACTGTGCTGACCAACTGCGCTAACTAACCATCTGTGCTGACCGATCCTTGTGTCGACCGACTGCGGACCAAGCTGTGCGTGGACCGTTGGTGCTGACCAACTCTTCTGACCAGCCACCTGTGTTGACTATCTCCAGAAGGACTAAGAGAACCATTCTTTGATTTACATCAACTGTCTATCATTGATGTAACGAGGGGATGAGAGACAGGGCCTTCTCGGTGGTGGCTCCTCGGCTGTGGAACACCCTTCCCGTGGACATCAGACTGGCTCCCTCCCTGATGATATTCCGCAGGAAATTAAAGACCTGGCTGTTCAAGAAGGCGTTCGAACAAGAAGTGCAATAATTGGTAATGACGACAGGAATGGAACAACGGAAATTGATACTGGATTGTGGTTCAAACGATGAGACGACGTGAATGGCTGTTTGTATTATTGATATTGTTGATGTTTTTGATAATGATGTTTTTGGTTACTGCAAGATTGATATTTTAGATTGTGTCTTGAATTTTGTACACCGCTGTGAGTTGCCCCCGGGCTGAGAACAGCGGTATATAAGCAAAGTAAATAAATAAATATAACAGTGGTTCTCAACCTGGAGGTCGCGACCCCCAAGGGGGTCGTTTGGCCATTTCAGAGGGGTCGCGAGGCTGCCTCCTTTGGCCCCTCTGTTCAATATCATGGTAGAAATCATCAAGTGGAGAGTGGAAAGGACTCTCAAGGGACATCTAGTCCAACCCTCTGATCAATGCATCCATGATAGACATCATCGAATCCTAGCGTTGGAAGGGACCCCCAAAGGCCATCTAGTCCAACCTCCAGTCTTTAGCCTTCTCTGCCTTGTTCTGGTGCCTTAAGTGGGGTCAAACGTCACCCAGTCTACAGTTAGACTCAACCTAAAGTTGCTCCCCGCTCTCACCTGTTGTTGTGGGTGAGCTTGACGTTCTCTCCCGGTGCCAGGACTTTGCCGTTCTTCAGCCAAATCAGGTGAGGTTCGGGCACACCTTGGGCCACGCAGGTGAAGATGGCGCTCCCACCGGGCGGCTTGGAGATGGACTGGGGCCACTGCACGAATTCGGGTGGTGCTACAGAAGAGGGGGAAGAAGAAGATTGGCATTTCATCAAAGTGTAGGACAGAAGTGGACGTTTCGAAGGGTATTCCTCTATGCTGATGATTGTGCCATCACCACCCAAGCTTGGAGCTTTGAAATGGTTGAACAGAAGCTCTCTGAAGCTTGAGGTGCTCTTACTGCCTATTACAGGGGAAACCAGCTGATTCCTAATGTTTAACATTCACACAAATAACCAGCCACTTCCAGAAGGGACAGATAATTTAATCTATGCTGACGATCGGGCCATCACCACCCAAGCAGGGAGCTTTGAAATGGTTGAACAGAAGCTCTCTGAAGCTTGAGGTGCTCTTACTGCCTATTACAGGGAAAATCAGCTGATTCCTAATCTTCCCATTCTCTGATAATGGAGTCCTACATATAGAGAGAGAGCTTCATCTATGCCGACAATCATGCCATCACCGCCCAAGCAGGGAGCTTTGAAACGGTTGAACAGAAGCTCTCCAAAGCTTTAGTTGCTCTTACTGCCTCTTCAGGGAAAACCAGCTGATTCCTAATCTTCTCTTTCTCTAACAATGGTCTCCTATATATATATATAGAGAGAGAGTTCCATCTATGCTGACGATTGTGCCATCACCACCCAAGCAGGGAGCTTTGAAGCGGTTGAACTCAAGCTCTCTGAAGCTTTAGGTGATCTTACTGCCTATTCCAGGGGAAACCAGTTGATTCCTAATCCATATAAAATGCAGACGTGTGCTTTTCATCTCAAGCTCTGAGGATGACCTGGGAAGGAATCCCACTGGAGCATTGCAGCACACCCAAAGACCTGGGAGTCACTCGGGGCCATGCTCTGACCTACAAGAAGCACTGCTTGACTATCAACAAAAAGTGGGCGCTAGAAATAACATTGTACGAAAGCTGACCTTTACAACCTGGGGATCACAACCAGACACAGCGACGGCATCTGCCCTTGCACTTTGCTACTCTGCTGCTGAATACGCAGGCCAAAATGTAGAACACATCACAACACATTAAAACAGTGGACGTGGCTCTTAGTGAGACATGCCGCAGTATCACAGGATGTCTACGCCCAACACTGCTGGATAAATGACACTGTTTATAGATAGATAGATTATTATTACTATATTATTACAATATTATTAGCATAGTACAATATCAGTATTAATACTACTATATTGTACTATACCATTATATTTTAATATTATTAGTAATATTACATGTAATATAAAATATATAGTTATAATATCATGTTATTATTAGTAGTATATTGTATTACATTATAATATTATAAATATTATATTATATTACATTATATTATATTAATCTAGCCGTCCCCTGCCGCGCTTTGCTGTGGCCCACATGGGGGTTCTGTGTGGGAAGTTTGGCCCAATTTTATCGCTGGTGGGATTCAGAATGCTCTTTGATTGTAGATGAACTATAAATCCCAGCAACTACAACTCCTAAATGTCAAGATTTTATTTTCCCCAAACTCCACCAGTGTTCACATTTGGACATATTGAGTATTCGTGCCAAGTTTGGTCCAGATCCATCATGCTTTGCTCTCTGGATGTAGGTGAACTACAACTCCAAAACCAAAGGACACTGCCCACCTTCCAGTATTTGGAAGAACTGTGTGCCAAGTTTAGTAAGATTACATGTAATATAAAATATATAATTATAGTATCATATAATATAATATTATAACCCACAAGGATGATAAACCATCAAATCATCCGGGCGTCCCTGGGCAACGTCCTTGCAGACGGCCAATTCTCTCACACCAGAAGCGACTTGCAGTTTCTCAAGTCCCTCCTGACACGACAAGAAAAATATTATATTATATTATATTATATTATATTATATTATATTATATTATATGTGTAGCAAGAAATATGCAATCTGTGTGTTTTTATAGGATTTCGGACACAAAACGTTTGGCATTTGAGTTGCTTCGGGAGGCCCAATTCTCTCACACCAGAAGCGACTTGCAGTTTCTCAAGTCCCTCCTGACACGATAAGAAAAATATTATATTATATTATATTATATTATATTATATTATATTATATTATATTATATTATAAGCGTAGCAAGAACTATGCAATCTGTGTGTTTTTATAGGATTTCGGACACGAAACGTTTGGCCTTTGAGTTGCTTCGGAAGGCCCAATTCTCTCACACCAGAAGCGACTTGCAGTTTCTCAAGTCCCTCCTGACACGACAAAAAAAAAAAATTATATTATATTATGTTATGTTATATTATTATTATAAGCGTAGCAAGAAATATGCAATCTGTGTGTTTTTATAGGATTTCGGACACGAAACGTTTGGCACTTGAGTTGCGTCGGAAGGCCCAATTCTCTCACACCAGAAGCGACTTGCAGTTTCTCAAGTCCCTCCTGACACGACAAAAAAAAAAAAATTATATTATATTATTATTATAAGCGTAGCAAGAAGTATGCAATCTGGATTTCAGACACGAAACGTTTGGCATTTGAGTTGCTTTGGAAGGCCCAATTCTCTCACACCAGAAGCGACTTGCAGTTTCTCAAGTCCCTCTTGACGCGACAAGAAATATATTATATTATATTATATTATATTATATTATATTATATTATATTTGAGTTGCTTCGGAAGGCCCAAACGGACGCTTTGCACGCGTTTTTGCTTTCGGAGAGGGATCGGGCCCCTGGGTTCCCGGATCGGGCCCGAAGCCCCCATCGTGGGAGCCGGCCGTGGAGGCAGATGTTGCATTCAGAGCCCTGACACTTTGCAGAAAAGGAGGTTTAAGCCTCCGAGACGGGACGCATCTCATTAGGGCTGGGAAAAGAGCAGCGGACCCCAAACAAAGGCAGGGGGACGGCGGCGGGCCCCTCGCCCGAGAAGGGCTTTGTTGTCGCCTCGGCCATGGGATTGAGGCATGGAAATGAGGGTCTGGGAGAGGGAACTCGGGCCGGAGAACGGCGGGCCTGAGACCCCCCTTCGACCGTTTCCACACCCCGCCCTGACCCCAAAGCATATGCCCCATTGAGGCCCCTCCGTCCGTCCGAGAAGGAGCAAGAGCGTGTCGTCCCCATTGTCTTCCAAACAGAAGCCAGATTGGAATATTTTGCTTCCACCGGAGCGCATTGTGTGCAGAATCCTTTGTGCCTGATATGATCCGGCATCAAATTGGCTTCGATTTCGGGCGGCCCTCCAACACCTCCGGGGAACCAACCTTCAACTTGGGAAATTTACGAGTTGGCTGGGTTAAACCCATTCCCAATATAATAGACTCGTACAATCCTAGAGTTGGGACATACCCTTAGGACCGTTCCTCATGCCGCGACCTCGTAATACAGTTCCTCATGTTGTGGTGACCCACCACCATAACATTATTTCCATTGCTACTTCACAACTGTAATTTTGCTCCTGTAATGAATCATCATGTAAATATTATAGACTCGTACAATCCTAGAGTTGGGACATATCCTTAGGACCGTTCCTCATGCCGCGACCTCGTAATACAGTTCCTCATGTTGTGGTGACCCACCACCATAACATTATTTCCATTGCTACTTCACAACTGTAACTTTGCTCCTGTAATGAATCATCATGTAAATATCATAGACTCATACAATCCTAGAGTTGGAACATATCCTTAGGACCGTTCCTAATGCCGCGACCTCGTAATACAGTTCCTCATGTTGTGGTGACCCCCCACCATAACATTATTTCCATTGCTACTTCACAACTGGAATTTTGCTTCTGTTATGAATCATCATGATATGCAAGATGCCTTTTCCTTCACAAATACTAAATATGCCCAAATGTAAACACTGGTGGAGTTGGGGGGAAATAGACCTTGACATTTGGGAGTTGTAGTTTCTGGGATGTATAGTTCACCTACAATCAAAGAGCATTCTGAACTCCACCAATTATGGAAGTGACTCAAACGTGGCACACAGAACTCCCATGACCAACATAAAATACCAGAAGGGTTTGGTGGGAATTGATCTTGAGTTTTGGAGTTGTAGTTCACCTACATCCTGAGAGCACTGTGGACTCAAACAATGATGAATCTGGATCAAATTTGGCATGAATACTCGATATTCCCAAATGTGGACACTGGTGGAGTTTGGGGGGAAATCGACCTTGACATTTGGGAGTTGTAGTTGCTGGGATTTGTAGTTCACCTACACTCAAAGAGCATTCTGAACCCCGCCAAACCCTACCAGTGTTCACATTTGGGCATATGGAGTATTCATGCCAAGTTTGGTCCAGATCCATCATTGTTTGAGTTCACAGGGCATTCTGGGTGTTGGTAAACTACAACTCCAAAACTCAAGGTCAATTCCCACCAAACCCTTTCAAGCATATTGAGTATTCGTGCCACGTTTGGTCCAGATCCATCATTGTTTGAGTCCACAGTGGTCTCTGGATGTAGGTGAACTACAACTCCAAAACTCAAGGTCAGTTCCCACCAAACCCTTTCAAGCATATTGAGTATTCGTGCCAAGTTTGGTCCAGATCCATCATTGTTTGAGTCTACAGTGCTCTCTGGATGTAGTTGAACTACAACTCCAAAACTCAAGATCAATTCCCACCAAACCCTCCCAAGCTTATTGAGTGTTAATGCCAAGTTGAGTCCACAGGGCATTCTGGATGTAGGCAAACTACAACTCCAAAACTCAAGGTCAATTCCCACCAAACCCTGCACAGGGCTCTCTGGGTGTAGGTGAACTACAACTCCAAAACTCAAGGTCAGTTCCCACCAAACCCTCCCAAGCATATTGAATATTTGTGCCAAGTTTGGTCCACGGGGCTCTCTGGATGTAGGTGAACTACAACTCCAAAACTCAAGATCAGTTCCCACCAAACCCTCCCAAGCATATTGAATATTTGTGCCAAGTTTGGTCCACAGGYCTCTCTGGATGTAGGTGAACTACAACTCCAAAACTCAAGGTCAGTTCCCACCAAACCCTCCCAAGCATATTGAATATTTGTGCCAATATCCAAAGCCACGAAGGGGTCCCTGATGATGACGGGGAGGCGGGTCTCCTTCCGTCCGTCCATCAATCACCCCGCGGTCCTTTGTCCCTGGCACACGAGTCACGGCATCGACCCCCATCTCTTTATCCCCGGCCCAGAATCGATGGCCGCTCCAGGGCCAGGTTCGATCCTGCGTCTCCTCGTCAGCCCTCGAGATGGAAAAAAAATGGACGATGCAAAGCCGGGAGGGATTGCAAAGATTGGGGGGGGGGGGATGTTGTGCCTGCTGAAATGAAACCGATAAGCGTGGACGGTGGCGAAACCCCTCGAGGACAGAAAAGGGGGGCAGCGGGAGACAGATGCGAGTCGTGGAGGAGGGCATGGAAATGTCCCCATATCTGCCAGAAAATGAAGACGAGAGAGAGAGAGAGAGATGATGGATATGGAGAGCCGAGGTGGGCAAGGGTCAGAAGTCAAAGGCAGGAGGGGAGCAAGCGGGGGAGGCCTTTCGCACTCGCAACGTCCGCTGGAATAACTCGTTCCACCCCAAATGGAAAACGGTCAGTCTGAGGTAAACCTCAGTGGGAGAAAATTCTCAGTCTGTGAAAAGGCCTCACAGTCAGAAATATTAAAAATCAACTAAGTATTTCTCATAACAAAAATGTGAGTGAAGCACTGAAAAGGTTAAATGGATGCAATGACTCAGCAGAAGCTGCAGTCTGTCAGTCTGAGGCAAACCTCAGTGGGAGAAAGGTCTCAGACTGTGATAAGGCCTCACAGTGAGAAATATTAAAAATTAATCAAGTATTTTTCGTTACAAAAATGTGAGTCAAGCACTGAAAGGGTTAAAAGTATGCAACGACTCAGCAGAAGCTGCCATCTGAGGTAAACCTCAGTGGGAGAAAAGTCTCAGTCTGTGATAAGGCCTCACAGTCAGAAATATTAAAAATTAACTAAGTATTTTTCATTACAAAAATGTGAGTCAAGCACTGAAAGGGTTAAATGGATGCAATGACTCAGCAGAAGCTGCAGTGTGAGGTAAACCTCAGTGGGAGAAAAGTCTCAGTCTGTGAGAAGGCCTCACAGTCGGAAATATTAAAAATTAACTAAGTATTTTTCATTACAAAAATGTGAGTCAAGCACTGAAAGGGTTAAATTGATGCAATGATTCAGCTGAAGCTGCAGTCTGTCAGTCTGAGGCAAACCTCAGTGGGAGAAAAGTCTCAGTCTGAGAAGGCCTCACAGTCAGAAATATTAAAAATTAACTAAGTATTTTTCATTACAACAATGTGAGTCAAGCACTGAAAGGGTTAAATGGATGCAACGACTCAGCAAAAGCTGCAGTTCAACATAAGCAGGTCTGCTTGTAGCTTAGTAGCTGTCAGTCTGAGGTAAACCTCAGTGGGAGAAAAGTCTCAGTCTGAGAAGGCCTCACAGTGTGAGATGGGCCTTAGTCTGTGAGAGAAGGCCTCACAATGTGAGGTAGGCCTTAGTCTGTGAGAAGACCTCACAGTGTGAGGTGGACCTTAGTCTGTGAGAAGGCCTCACAGTGTGAGGTGGACCTTAGTCTGTGAGAAGGCCTCACGATATGAGGTAGACCTCTGTCTGTGAGAGAAGACCTCAGTGTGAGGTGGACCTTAGTCTATGAGAAGGCCTCACAGTGTGAGGTGGACCTTAGTCTGTGAGAGAAGGCCTCACAATGTGAGGTAGTCCTTAGTCTGTGAGAAGGCCTCACAGTGTGAAGTGGACCTTAGTCTGTGAGAAGGCCTCACAATGTGAGGTAGGCCTTAGTCTGCGAGAGAAGGCCTCACAATGTGAGGTGGACCTTAGTCTGTGAGAGAAGGCCTCACAATGTGAGGTAGGCCTTAGTCTGTGAGAAGGCCTCACAGTGTGAGGTGGACCTCAGTCTGTGAGAGGGTCTCACAATGTGAGGTAGGCCTTAGTCTGTGAGAAGGCCTCACAGTGTGAGGTGGACCTCAGTCTGTGAGAGAGGGTCTTACAATGTGAGGTAGGCCTTAGTCTGTGAGAAGGCTTCCGAGTGCGAGAAGGCCTAGTGTGAAAAGCTCCAGGTTGAAGGCCTCATGTGTAAAGCTGTGTAAAAAGCTACTGTATGAAGCTTGAAGGTACCCAACGGCAACAACATAAAGTTCCTAGTCTCTAAACAACCAGTCCTAGGACTCCATAGATCTACCTTCTCTCACCCAAACCCAGTCTCACCTTGGACCATGAGGATGCCCTGCGCGGTACGGCGAACGCGGGTTCCCGGGCGATTGGCAGCACAAACGTAAACGCCGGCGTGTTTCACCGAGACATCGGAGATCATGAGGTTGCCAGTTCCCAAAACTTGGATGCCTTCGACACCAATGGAACGTCCATCTGCGGGGAAGAAAAAACGTCAGACCGCTTCCTCCTTTGCTTTATAGAGCCAAAGGAGACAACCTCGCGACCCCTCTGAAATGGCCAGGTGACCCCTTGGGAGGTCGCAACCCCCAGGTTGAGAACCGCTGACATAGTGCTTCCTCCTCCCATCACAATGCAACTCCTCCTCTTCTCATCACATAACTTCCATCTCCTCCTTCCATCATGTTCTCCTCTTCCATCAGAACATAGCTTTTCCTCCTCCCATAATGCATCTCCTCCTCTTCTCATCACATAACTTCCATCTCCTCCTTCCATCATGTTCTCCTCCTTCCATCAGAACATAGCTCTCCCTCCTCCCATCACAATTCAACTCTTCCTCTTCTCATCACATAACTTCCATCTCCTCCTTCCATCATGTTCTCCTCCCTCTATCAGAACATAGCTCTTCCTCCTCTATCACAATGCAACTCCTCTTCTCATCACATAACTTCCATCTCCTCCTTCCATCATGTTCTCCTCCTTCCATCAGAACATAGCTTTTCCTCCTCTCATCACAAAGCAACTCCTCCTCTTCTCAAGTTCCATCTCCTCCTTCCATCATGTTCTCCTCTCTCCATCAGATCATAGCTCTTACTCCTCCCATCACAATGCAACTCCTCTTCTCATCACATAATTTCCATCTCCTCCTTCCATCATATTCTCCTCTTCCATCAGAACATAGCTTTTCCTCCTCCCATCACAATGCAACTCCTCCTCTTCTCATCACATAACTTCCATCTCCTCCTTCCATCATATTCTCCTTTTTCCATCAGAACATAGCTTTTCCTCCTCCCATCACAATGCAACTCCTCCTCTTCTCATCACATAACCCATCTCCTCCTTCCATCATGTTCTCCTCCTTCCATCAGAACATAGCTTTTCCTCCTCCATCACAATGCAACTCCTCCTCTTCTCATCACATTCCATCTCCTCCTTCCATCATGTTCTCCTCCCTCCATTATAACGTCTCCTTCCTCCCTCTTTTCATCTCAGTACAACTTCTCCTTTCTTCCTTCCTTCTGAACAACTTCCCGTCTTTCATTCAGAGAATTGCTCCCTTCACATCCATCATCGTAGATCTTTCCTCTGCATCCATTTCTCTTCCTCCTGTCACAACCCAACTTTCCATCCATTAAACTCCATTCCACTCACCAAGACGACTCCAAGACACAATCGGCCGAGGATTGCCGGTGGCGATGCACTCCAAGATGGCCGTCTGGTGCACGTTGATGGTCAGGTTCTGTGGGCCGGACAGAATGACCGGCTCTTTGTAGAGTTTGGGGGCAAACACTGGGGAGAAGGGAGAAGAAAGTCAATGTTTGCATTGAGATTCGGGCAGGATTCGCCAATCTGCGCTTGGTGCAAAATTTTCAGAATTCATTCTGCATTGTGCACAATTACAAAATTTGCGCCAATCAATGCCCATATTGGAAACATCATTGGCGCATCAATGCAACTGAAATTTTGTGCCAAGAAAAGGGCAGGATTCTATGCGTGGAATGAAATTTGCAGAATGTATTCTCTGTTAACAACAACAACAACAACAACATTTATTACGTTCCATAGACCCGTCAGTTACTGATCATGTGACCTTGACCCACCCTGGCCTCGATTTATTTATTTATTTAAAACTTTTCTATCCCGATCTTTTCTGAGTCCGTAGAGGGACTCAGACTGGCTGACAGCAAAAATTCAATGCTAACACTAAAATCTAAAAGATCATACATCAACATTAAAATTAACCAATACATATAGAATAAATTACATAACAGCCGTTCGCCAAGATAAAATCATGTCCAACTCAGTCCATATATGGTCGATTGCCGGTCTCAGATATCATTCCGCAAAAGCTTCGTTCCACAGTTTTCACTAGTTTCCTAAAGGTCAGGAGGGATGGGGCAGATCTAATTTCATTCGGGAGGGAATTCCATAGCCGAGGATCCACCACAGAAAAGGCCCTGTCTCTCGTTCCCACCAGACGCACCTGCAAAGGCCTCTCGTCTAAAGGAATTTTTAAAAGAATGGATAGGGGAAGAACAAACGGGATTTCTTCCTAACAGAAACATGAAGGACAATATTCGAACAAGATTGGACTTTAATAAGTACTATGATCTAAATCAATGGTTCTCAACCTGGGGTCCCCAGATGTTTTTGGCCTTCAACTCCCAGATATCCTAACAGCTAGTAAACTGGCTGGGATTTCTGGGAGTTGTAGGCCAAAAACATCTGGGGACCCCAGGTTGAGAACCACTGATCTAAATCATCAAAAAGAAGTAGCCCTCTTGGCCATCAATGCAGAAAAAGCTTAAAGTCCCAACCTAAATTGGGACTTTAAAAAAAATCTTAATTCAAGAATTAGACATGGGCTTTGGATTTAGCAATGCCATTAATTCAATATAAGAGAACCAAAAGGCCTCTCCAGACGACCTTAATACTCTTGGTGATTCATAGGGGAGAATATGTTCGGACAGGTAAGCTGGGCTGGAACCGTATAGGGTTTTGTAGGTTAAAACCAGCACTTTGAATTGTGCTCGGAAGCTAATTGGCAGCCAGTGGAGCTGGCGCAATAAGGGAGTTGTACACACCCTGTACCCCGCTCCCATTAGTAACCTGGCTGCCGAGCGCTGGACTAATTACAGCTTCCGGGCAGTCTTCAAAGGCAACCCCACGTAGAGAGTGTTGCAGTAATCTATACGGGATGTATAGGGATCTTAATTCTGCCCAAATACTGGGCAAATGTTACCCGTAGACTCTGGTCCATCTTTGCAACCATCTTTTTGAAATGTGAGCTAAGCAAACCGCAATCACACTCCTGATATCTGGGTACAGTGCAATATACACACATCATAAATTTCTACCATCCCTTGTTTCCATTTTGGCAAACTGGGGATACCATCCCATGTTCGTGCCCCCCCCCCCCCCCCCCAATGCTCACCACTTATGCTTAACACCGCCTCTTGACTGTAACGGGTGTTGGCGATATTGCTGGCCACGCAGCGGTAGGTCCCCACGTCGGAACGGCGGACCCCCGTGATTTGCAGGATGCCGGTGGGGAGCAACGTGAACCTGGCAGAAATGGCAAAGAAGGGTTGAAAGGAGCAGAATCGGGACACACGCATTGCAGATGTTGTGTCATGACATTGTAATTTGGAAAGCCTGCTCTAGCTAATATATCTCTACCAGGGGCCCACACTGGGAGAAAAGTGGCATATAAATAACACCAAATACTTGACATCCTTCTTTAGACTTAATCCGATGTCTGGAAACCCGATTCCGAACCATTTCTGTGCTGATATATCTCCACCTTCCGCTATGAAACCCTCACCGGTAGTCATCCGTTTGGAGAGCGGTGCGGTTGCGTTCCCAGGTGATCGTCGCTTCGGGGACACCCTGGATCAAGCACTGGAAGCGGGCCACTCCTCCTTCCTCGACCGACATGGACTCCGGGTGCATATGGAACCTGGACAGGGCTGTGGGGAGAGAAGCGTGGGGTGATGATGATGATGATAATCATCATCATCATCATCATCATCATCTTTATTTATATTCTTCCCATGGAGACTCAGAGTGGATTACAATATAAACAGATACCGGCAAACATTGAATGCATTGTTACAATGCAGTGAGACACACAAAAACAAACAAAGGCAAAGGCTTCTCCTTTCATTTCCAGCTTTGGTGACAACTTTATTATATCTTGCCCTTCTTCCCGTGGAGACTTAGAGTGGATTACAATGTAAACAGATACCGGCAAACATTCAATGCCCTGTTGCAATACAGTGAGACACACAACACAAACAAAGGCAAAGGCTTCTCCTTTCATTTCCAGCCTTAGAGGCAGTGCTCATCTCTGGCTCTGGGGAGGACATTCTTTTTCCCGCGGAGACTCAGAGTGGATTACAATATAAACAGATACCGGCAAACATTCAATGCCTTGTTACAATACAGTGAGACACACAACACAAACAAAGGCAAAGGCTTCTCCTTTCATTTCTGGCTTTGGAGGCAATGCTCATCTCCGGCTCTGGGGAGGACATTCTTTTTCCCGCGGAGACTCAGAGTGGATTACAATATAAACAGATACCGGCAAACATTGAATGCCTTGTTACAATGCAGTGAGACACACAAACACAAACAAAGGCAAAGGCTTCTCCTTTCATTTCCAGSTTTAGTGACAACTTTTTATATCTTGCCCTTCTTCCCATGGAGACTCAGAGTGGATTACAATATAAACAGATACTGGCGAACARTCAATGCCTTGTTGCAATACAGCGAGACACACAACACAAACAAAGGCAAAGGCTTCTCCTTTCATTTCCGGCTTTGGAGGCAGTGCTCATCTCTGGCTCTGGGGAGGCTCTGTTCTCCATTTCCAAGCCGAGGAGCCTGCGTTGTCACCTCCTTTTTCCCACGGAGACTCAGAGTGGATTACAATATAAACAGATACCAAAACATTCAATGCCTTGTTTCAATACAGCGAGACACACAACACAAACAAAGGCAAAGGCTTCTCCTTTCATTTCTTATGCCTTTACTGCCAAAGTAGTACCTATTTATCTACTCACATTTGCATGTTTTTGAACTGCTAGGTTGGCGGGAACTAAGGCTAACAGTGGGAGCTCACCCCATCCCACGGATTCGGACTGTCAACCTTCAGTTCAGCAGCACAACCCATTGGGTTTAACCCATTGCGCCACCACAGGATGGTGTGACGTTTGGACCAGGTGCCAATCAGCATGGATTGGCTGAAGGAAATCAGCTAAAATGGATCTGCACACAAGCCAAGTAGATACAACACAAACGAAGGCAAAGGCTTCTCCTTTCATTTCTTATGCCTTTACTGCCAAAGTAGTATCTATTTATCTACTCACATTTGCATGTGTTTAAACTATGTTGGTGGGAGCTAAGGCTAACAGTGGGGGCTCACCCCGTCCCACAGATTCGAACTGTCAACCTTCAGGTCAGCAGTTCAGCAGCACAAGGTTTAACCCATTGCGCCACCACGGGATGGTGTGACATTTGAACCAGGTGCCAATCAGCATGGATTGGCTGAAGGAAAACAGCTAAAATGGATCCGCACACAAGCCAAGTAGATACAACACAAACAAAGGCAAAGGCTTCTCCTTTCATTTCCGGCTTTGGAGGCAATGCTCATCTCTGGCTCTGGGGAGGACATTCTTTTTCCCGCGGAGACTCAGAGTGGATTACAATATAAACAGATACCGGCAAACATTGAATGCCTTGTTACAATGCAGTGAGACACACAAACACAAACAAAGGCAAAGGCTTCTCCTTTCATTTCCAGCTTTAGTGACAACTTTTTATATCTTGCCCTTCTTCCCATGGAGACTCAGAGTGGATTACAATATAAACAGATACTGGCAAACATTCAATGCCTTGTTGCAATACAGCGAGACACACAACACAAACAAAGGCAAAGGCTTCTCCTTTCATTTCTTATGCCTTTACTGCCAAAGTAGTACCTATTTATCTACTCACATTTGCATGTTTTTGAACTGCTAGGTTGGCAGGAACTAAGGCTAACAGTGGGAGCTCACCTCATCCCACGGATTCGAACTGTCAACCTTCAGGTCAGCAGTTTGAGCCCCCGGTGGTGCAGTGGGTTAAACCCCTGTGCCGGCAGGACTGAAGACCGACAGGTCGCAGGTTCGAATCCGGGGAGAGGCAGATGAGCTCCCTCTATCAGCTCCAGCTCCTCATGCGGGGAAATGAGAGAAGCCTCCCACAAGGATGATAAAACATCAAAATCATCCAGGTGTCCCCTGGGCAACGTCCTTGCAGACGGCCAATTCTCTCACACCAGAAGCGACTTGCAGTTTCTCAAGTCGCTCCTGACACAACCCATTGCGCCACCACGGGATGGCGTGAAATTTGGACCAGGTGCCAATCAGCATGGATTGGCCGAAGGAAAACAGCTAAAATGGATCCACACACAAGCCTAGTAGATACAACACAAACAAAGGCAAAGGCTGTATTGTCGAAGGTTTTCATGGCTGGAATCACTAGGTTCTTGTGGGTTTTTTCAGGCTATCGGGCCATGTTCTAGAGGCATTTCTCCTGACGTTTCGCCTGCATCTATGGCAAGCATCCTCAGAGGTTGTGAGGATGCTTGCCAAAGGCAAAGGCTTCTCCTTTCATTTCCGGCTTTGGAGGCAGTGCTCATCTCTGGGGCTCACATTGAGAGCTCACCTCATCCCACGGATTCGAACTGTCAACCTTCAGGTCAGCAGTTCAGCAGCACAGGGGTTCAACCCATTGCGCCACCACGGGATGGTGTGACATTTGGACCAGGTGCCAATCAGAATGGATTGGCTGAAGGAAATCAACTAAAATGGATCCACACACAAGCCTAGTAGATACAACACAAACAAAGGCAAAGGCTTCTCCTTTCATTTCCGGCTTTGGAGGCAGTGCTCATCTCTGGGGCTCACAGTGGGAGCTCACCGCATCCCACGGATTCGAACTGTCAACCTTCAGGTCAGCAGTTCAGGAGCACATTGCGCCACCACGGGATGGTGTGACATTTGGACCAGGTGCCAATCAACACGGATTGGCTGAAGGAAAACGGCTAAAACAAAAATCATATTGTGTTGTTAATTACCATTAGTGTGAACCCCAAAAGTGAGGGAACTATTTAGTCCACGGAACAGGACTAAATAGTCCCTCCTGGTTGACTTACTGGCAATCTGGACACGGGCCTTGCGACTGACCAGCAGGCCATAGCGGTTCTGGGCGGCACAGCTGTACTCTCCAGTGCTGGACTCGGTGGCATTGGTTGTACTGGCATCGGAGCCTCCTCCTCCTCCTCCTCCTCCTCCTCCTCCTCCTCCTCCGCGGGGTCTCCGGTGGACACTCTCCAGGAGGAGGGATCCGTTGGACAAGATGGCCACCTGGCTGTCATTGGAGAGGGGGACTCCGTTCCGGTACCACGTGCGAGTGATGGGCGCCTCGCCTTCCACTTGGCAGTGGAGCAGGAGGGGCCGCTCCCGGACGGCGATCACATCACTCGGCTCCAGGACGAACGCCAGCTCTGAGGAGTCGGCCAGCCCTGCGGAGAAGAAAACATATCAGAGAAGGTGTAGAACGTATATTCCATACTATAGGCAGTCCCACCACAGCAACTTTATTTATATCCCACGACCACCACCACTACCACAACAACTTTATTTATATCCTGCCTCCACCACCACAACAACAAAAACTTTATTTATATCCAGCCACCAGCACAACTTTATTTATATCCTGCTGCCACCACCACCACAACTTTATATCCTGCCTCCACCACTACCACAACAACTTTATTTATATCCCACCTCCATCATCACAACAACTTTATTTATATCCCGTCACCACCACCACAACTTTATTTATTTCCTGCCTCCGTCACCACCACAACAACTTGATTTATATCTTGCTTCCACCACCACAACAACTTTATTTATATCTTACATCCACCACCACTACAACAACAAAAACTTTATTTATATCCCACCACCACCACCACCACAACTTTATTTATATCCTGCCGCCACCACCACCACAACTTTATATCTTGCCTCCACCACCACCACAACTTTATTTATATCCTGCCTCCTCCTCCACCACCACAGCAACAGCTTTATTTATATCCCTCCACCACCAGTACAACTTTATTTACATCCTGCCTCCACCACCACAGCAACAACTTTTATGTATATCCCGCCACCACCACAACAACTTTATTTTTATCCTGCCATCACCACCACTACAACAACTGTATTTATATCCCCCACCACCACCACAACATCTTTATTTATATCCTGCCACCGCCACCACTACAACAACTTTATTTATATCCTGACTCCACCATCACAACTTTATATCCCACCACCACCACTACCACAACAACTTTATTTTTATCCCACCATCACCACAACCACAACTTTATTTATATCCTGTCTCTACCACCACCACAACATCTTTATTTATATCCTGCCACCATCACCACCACAACAACTTTATTTATATCCTGCGACCACCACCACAACAACAACTTTATTTTTTATCCCACTGCAACAACAACTTTATTTATATCCCGCCACCACCACAACTTTATATCCCACCACCACCACTACCACAACAACTTTATTTTTTATCCCACCATCACCACAACCACAACTTTATTTATATCCTGCCACCACCACCACCACCACAACTTTATTTATATCTTGCCACCACCACCACCACCACAACATCTTTATTTATATCCTGCCACTACCACCATCACAACTTTATTTATATCAAACAACCACCATCACCACAACAACTTTATTTATATCCTGCCACCACCACCACAACTTTATGTATATCCTGCCTCCACCACCACAACAACGACTTTATTTATATCCTGCCGCAGCCACCACCACAACAACAACTATATTTATATCCTGCCACCACCACTACCACAATAACAACTTTATTTATACCCCGCCACCATCTCCCAACTCGGGGCGGCTTCCAGGAAAGCAGCGGGAAAAGTGGGAAGGCAGAGCATGAATTGGGATTTTGCTTGCCAAAGTGAGATGCTTGGAAGGTCTTGACTACGGCTTTCGAAGTTCAAACGCACCCATTCCAGAGTTTAGATATATAAGTTGTTGCAAGACCGAAACGGGGAAAAAAAAGGTGTGGCGGGGATCCTTCTTTGTTTCTCGGTCGCAACCTCCGACCCCATTTCGATCAATCCATCAATATCACCCCACCGCAAGTCCTTGTCCACCGAAGGGCCCGACGGAGGCACACAATTGGAAAAAGCGAGGCAATTAAAAACCTCTCGGGCTCCGAGTGGGGGTCCCTTTAGGGCTTCAAAGGGGCTAATCTTTCCCCCCCCCCCGTCCCTTCCATCCCCCCCACTCTTTTATCCTCGGACCCCTTTCATTCACAAACCGCTCTTGGCCGAAACCCAAGCCCCCAACCCCTCCCCTCGACCGTCCCGTGCCTCTTTGTGCCAAAATTGGAGCACATCCCAAAAAAGGCAAAAAGGAGGAGTGGGGGGGGGCTTGGCACACAAATGCCACCACAGTGACGACCGGGACCCCACCGGGACCCCACGCTGCCACGTGCCTCCGTTTCTGGCTCGGAGCCCATGCGCGACCCAAGACCTCGTAACATTTCCTCGTAACAAGACCTCGTAACATTTCCTTTGGTCGCGGATGGGCCTCACCTGTCTCTCGAAACCGAAAAGACAGTATAGCAAACTATCCAATTAAAGGTTTTGATACATCTAGTTAACACCTTTTATGGAAACTAGATGTTCGAATGTTGATGCGTGCGTATTTTCGTTGGCTTGTGGCACGCTCCTCGTTCCGTTTTCCCAGCTTTTACGACAATCGGTTCTCTAACCAAAATGTGACATCATATTCCAAATCTCATCTTTGAATTAGAACTTGGTCCCAGCTCTTTCCAGCTCCCTGTTTCCATTATTATTATTATTATTATTATTATTACCCTGCGTCATTGTGGATGAAGCTTTAGGTGCTCTTATTGCCTCATTACAGGGAAATAATAATCCGAATCTCATCTTTGAATTAGACCTTGGTCCTAGCTCTTTCCAGCTCCATTATTATTATTATTATTATTATTATTAWTAWTAWTATTATTATTATTATTATATATGTTATATTATAATAATAATAATAATAATAATTATTATTATTATTAWTATTAWTACCCTGCGTCATTGCGGATGAAGCTTTAGGTGCTCTTATTGCCTATTACAGGGAAATAATAATCCTCCCTGTTTCCATTATTATTATTATTATTATTATTATTAATACCCTACGTCATGTGGATGAAGCTTTAGYTGCTCTTATTGCCTATTACGGGGAAATAATAATCTGAATCTCATCCTTGAATTGGACCTTGGTCCCAGCTCCTTCCAGCTCCAACCTCCCTGTTTCTATTATTATTATTATTATTATTATTATTATTATTATTATTATATAAAATATTATTATATATATTATTATTATTATTATTATTATTATTATTATTATTACCCTGCGTCATTGCGGATGAAGCTTTAGGTGCTCTTATTGCCTATTACAGGGAAATAATAATCCTCCCTGTTTCCATTATTATTATTATTATTATTATTATTAATACCCTACGTCATGTGGATGAAGCTTTAGATGCTCTTATTGCCTATTACAAGGAAATAATAATCCAAATCTCATCTTTGAATTGTGGATGAAGCTTTAGGTACTCTTATTGCCTATTACAGAGAAATATTACAGGGAAATAATAATCCACCCTGTTTCCATTATTATTATTATTATTATTATTATCATTATCATTATTATTATTATTATTAATACCCTGCGTCCTTGCGGATGAAGCTTTAAGTGCTCTTATTACCTATTATAGGGAAATAATAATCCTCCCTGTTTCCCTTATTATTATTATTATTATTATTATTATATATGTTTTATTATTATTATTATTATTATTATTATTATTATTATTATTACCCTGCGTCATTGTGGATGAAGCTTTAGGTGCTCTTATTGCCTATCACAGGGAATCGAATCTCATCTTTGATTTGGGCCTTGCTCCCAGCTCTTTCCAACTCCAACCTCCCTGTTTCCATTATTATTAATAATAATAATAATAATAATAATAATAATAATAATAATAATATCCTGCATCATTGTGTATGAAGCTTTAGGTGCTTTTACTGCCAATTACAGGGAAACCCAGCTGATTCCTAATCCATCTAAAACACACACATGCTTTTCACCATCAATGTTTATCATTCACAGAAATGACCAGCCACTGCCAGAAGGGACAGAGTTTCATCTATGCTGACGATCGTGCCATCACCACTCAAGCAGGGAGCTTTGAAGCAGTTGAACTCAAGCTCTCTGAAGCTTTAGGTGCTCTTACTGCCTATTACAGGGAAAACCAGCTGATTCCTAATATTCCCTTTCTCTGATAATGGAGTCCTATATATATAGAGAGAGAGTTCCATCTATGCTGACAATCGTGCCATCACTACCCAAGAAGGGAGCTTTGGGATGGTTCAACAGAAGTTCTCAGAAGGTTTAGGTGCTCTTACTGCCTATTACAGGGAAAACCAGCTGATTCCTAATCTTCTCTTTCTTTGATAATGGAGTCCTATAGAGAGAGAGAGAGAGCTCCATCTATGCCGACGATCATGCCATCACCGCCCAAGCAGGGAGCTTTGAAATGGTGGAACAGCACAGGCTGCTGAATACACAGGCCCAGTGTAGAACACATCTCACCACGTTAAAACAGTAGATGTGGCTCTTAGTGAGACATGCCGCATTATCACAGGATGTCTACGCCCAACATTGCTGGAAAAATTACACTGTTTAGCAGGTATTGCACCACTCATATTCCGCCAGGAAGTAGCAACCAATCATGAAAGGACCAATGCATTGACATCTCCGGCCTATCCTCTGTTTGGATGCCAACCAGCATGCCAACACCTTCAATCAAGACACAGCTTCCTAACATCTACAAGCATACTTGCAGGAACTCCTCAGCAAGCGAGAGTCCAAAAGTGGCGGGCTAAGATCCGGAATCAGGTGCACAATGGAGGACCTTCTTACAGTGACATCAGAAGCACTCCAAAGTGGTCAAAGGACATTTAGTATCAATTTAGTACTTTGTTTCTGTTTTTAAATACCTTACAATTTGCTTGTGACACAATCAATAAATTACTATTGTTATGCATGTTGTTGTTGGTACTGAAATGGCGGTACAACCAAGCCCTCTTCGACCTTGGGCATCGAAACCTCTTGGCCTTGGAATGTGTCCAAAGTACCTGACTTGCTTTTGGATAGGATTATCAAGGAGCCGTGCTCCCCAAATTAGGGTTCTCCACGTGGCCTTCCTTCCCCTCGTCTCACAAAGCCAACAGATGGAAAGGGCTGCAGGGGGCTGGAAAAAGAGAGACCCTAATCCCCTCTGGGAGTCGGCGGGGGTCTTTCCAAAGCCACAAAGTTAAACTCTGTCGGTGACAATGGGGGAAACACAGAGGAAGGGGGGTACGGGACGGTCCCCCCCGTCACAATCTGATGGATGCTGCCATTCAAGCCGGGCCTTAGCAACGCATGGCATGGCGGAGCGAAAAGGGGGCCCCACGGCAAAGAGAGGGGAACAATGCCCCGGGTCACAAGGGGGGCCAGGCCGGGTCTATTGTCCCGCCTACGAAACAATGGCCCTTGCCTTTGCCGGGCCCATCTGCCGAAGCCACGTGACACTCTCGGGGTGAGGTTCCCATGACTTGCTCCATCACTCAAGGATGAGGATGGGGTGGACCCATGGCCTATGGATCCATCACCGACCGGGGTCAGGCCAAGGGGGCTGCCATGACCCTCGGACTTTTGTTCACACTCACACATATTCAGATTGCCTTTGCACTTGGCGTCGAGGCTCGGGCGGTCGTGAAATGGAACCAGTGCCTCGCCGTAGCCTCGAGGGGGGACCTCATATCGAGCATCACGGGATCAGTCCAACGGCCGAAGGAAACGTCCCCGTTACAAAATTCAAGGGGATGGACAAAAGGACATTTCCTTTGGTCACTCCCTTGATGCTTTGGTCCTTAAGTGGACCCAAGGCCCGTCATGACGAAGCCACGGCCTCGAGGGGGGACCTCAGATCGAGCATCACGGGATCGGTCCAACAGCCGAAAGAAACGTCCCCGTTACAAAATTCAAGGAGATGGACGAAGGGACATTTCCTTCGGTCACTCCCTTGATGCTTTGGTCATGAAATTGAACCAAGGCTACCATGACGAAGCCACGGCCTCGAGGGGGGACCCCCAGATCGGGCATCATGGGATCAGTCCAACGGCTGAAGGAAACGTCCCCGTTACAACGTTCAAGAGGATGGATGAGGGGACATTTCATTCCGTCACTCCCTTGATGCTTTGGTCATGAAATGGAGCCAAGACCCACCATGAAGCCTCGACCTCGAGGGGGGACCTCAGATTGACCACCACGGGATCGGTCCAACAGCCGAAGGAAATGTCCCCATTACAAAATTCAAGAGGATGGACGAGGAGGACATTTCCTTCGGTCACTCCCTTGATGCTTTGATCATTAAGTGGAGCCAAGGCCCGCCATGACGAAGCCACCGCCTCGAGGGGGGACCTCAAATTGACCATCACGGGATCCGTCCATCGGCCAAATGGAACGTCCCCATTACAAAGTTCAAGAGGATGGACAAGGGGACATTTCCTTCGGTCACTCCCTTGATGCTTTGGTCATTAAGTGGAGCCAAGACCCGTCATGACAAAGCCGTGGCTTCGAGGGGGGACCTCAATGCCCACCATGAAGCCTCGGCCTCGAGGGGGGGACCTCGGATCGAGCATCATGGGATCAGTCCAACGGCCCAAGGAAGTGTCCCCGTTACAAAGTTCAAGAGGATGGACGAGGGGACATTTCCTTCGGTCACTCCCATGATGCTTTGGTCATGAAATTGAGCCAAGGCTCAGGACTTCATGTCCACCATGGCAACCATGGGGCTGTCCCAACAGGTATCTGGCCCCACCCACAGTGCTGGACATACATTGGACCTGGTTTTCTGTCAGGGATGGGAGGAAGGTGGCGGTATTGAGGAGTTAGCCATCTCTCCGTTGCCATGGACCGACCACCACCTGGTCAGCTTTAGACTCACTGCAACCTCTAGCCTCCGCAGAGGTGGAGGACCTATTAAACTGGTCCGCCCCAGGAGGCTTATGGATCCGGAAGGATTCCTGACGGCTCTTGGGGAATTTCCCGCCACCTCGGTTGGTGATCCTGTTGATGCCCTGGTCGCTCTCTGGAATGGGGAGATGACTAGGGCAATAGACACGATCGCTCCAGAACGTCCCCTCTCAAGTAGCCGAGCTAAACCAGCCCCTTGGTTCACTGAGGAGCTGGCAGCGTTGAAGCGAAAGAAGAGGGAACTAGAGAGCGTGTGGCGTTCGGATCCGAGCGAGCCAAATCAAACACGGTTTGTGTCCTTTCTAAGGGCATATGCCGCGGCAATAAAAGCCGCAAAGAAGACTTTCTTTGCGGCCACTATTGCGTCTGCAAAGAACCGTCCGGCTGAACTGTTCCGAGTTGTCAGAGGCCTTTTAAAACCCACCATCCAGGATGGGTGCCCTGATGACTCGGCAGTTCGCTGTGAAGCCTTTGCTCAGTTCTTTGCAGACAAAGTCGCTTTGATCCGCTCTGGTCTGGACACCATATTAACGGCAGTCTCTGAGGATGTAACACGAGCATCTGCTTGTCCGGTTTTGATGGATTCATTTCAATTGGTTCAATCCGAGGATGTGGACAAGGTGCTTGGAGGAATGAGAGCTACCACATGCATCCTAGACCCCTGCCCATCCTGGCTTCTAAAGGGGGCCAGAGGGGGATTGGCCGAGTGGGTGAAGGTGGTGGTTAATGCCTCCCTTCGGGAAGGCAAATTCCAGCCAGCTTAAAACAAGCTGTAATAAAACCGCTGTTGAAAAAACCATCACTGGACCCCACTCAATTCGTCAACTATCGGCCTGTTTCCAATCTCCCCTTCTTGGGCAAAGTCCTGGAAGGTGTGGTGGCCTCACAACTCCAGGCATTCTTGGTAGACACGGATTATCTGGACCCGGCACAGTCTGGCTTTAGGCCGGGGCATGGTACCGAGACAGCCTTGGTCGCCTTAGTGGATGATCTGCGCCGGGAGCTCGACAGGGGGAGTGTGTCCCTGTTGGTGCTGCTCGACCTCTCAGCGGCCTTCGATACCGTCGACCACGGTATCCTTCTGGGACGCCTCGCAGGGATGGGTCTCGGAGGTACTGTTTTGCAGTGGCTCCGGTCATTCCTCGAGGATCGGTCTCAGAAGGTGTTACTGGGGGACTCCTGTTCAACCCCACAACCTTTGTTTTGTGGGGTTCCTCAGGGCTCAATACTGTCTCCCATGTTGTTTAACATCTACATGAAGCCGCTGGGTGAGATCATCCGGAGTTTCGGAGTGCGATGTCATCTGTACGCAGATGATGTCCAACTCTGTCACTC